CAGGATCCTATATGGGCACCAGTTCATATCTGGCTGCTCCACTTCCCATCCACCTCCCTGCTTGTGGCCTGGGAAAGCTGTAGAGGACGGTCCAAAACCTTGGGACCCTGCATACACATATCAGATCCAGAAGAAGCTCCAGGCTCCTGGCTTCGGATCAGTTCAGCTCCAGTTACTGTGACCATTTGAGGAGTAAACCAGCAATGCGTGATCTTTCTGTCTCTCCTCCCTGTAAATCTGTCTTTCCAATAAAAATATATTTTAAAGGAAAAAATTTAAAACAAAAATAACTGGCATTGTTACACAGCAGACAAGGCTGCTGCCTGCCCCCCGCAACACCATGGAGGTTAGAATCCCAGTTGCTCCATTTCCAACACAGTTTCCTGCTAATTGTCTGGAGAAAGCAGTGAGAGATGGCCAAAGTACTTGAGTCCCTGCCAACCTGAGAGAAGTTTCTGGCTCCACCCTGACCATAGCAGCCATTTTGGAAGTAACCCAGAAAATGGAAGCCCTCTCTCTCTGGCTCTCCTCTCTATAGTTCTGGCATTCAAATAAAATTTAAAAACTAAAAACTAAAAAAAAAAAACAAAACAAACAAAAACACACACACACACACACACAGAGGGCTCAGCCCGGTGCAATAGCCTAGTGGCTAAAAACAAATCCTCACCTTGCATACGCCAGGATCTTATATGAGTGCTGGTTCATATCCCAACTGCTCCACTTCCCTTCTAGATCCCTGCTTGTGCCCTGGGAAAGCAGTAGAGGATGGCCCAAAGCCTTCAGACACTGCATCCACGTGGGAAACCCAGAAGCTCCAGGCTCCTAGCTTCAGATCAGTCCAGCTCCAGCCATTGCACCCATTTGGGGAGTAAACCAGCAATGAAGATCTTTCTAACTCTCCTCACTGTAAATATGCCTTTTCAATAAAAAGCTGTCACTTGCAAAACCATCATCCTATGTCTGAGTGCTAGCAGCAGTCCCAGCAGTTCCACTTCTAACTCACCACCCTCCTAATGTACCTGGTATGGCAGCAACCGCTCCAGGTGCTTGAACCTTCACCTCTGGCTCCTGGCTTCAATGTGGCACAGATGTGACTTCTGTGGCCACTTGGGAAACCAACCACCAGATAGAAAATACCACAAGTGCTTATATTTGCTTCCCTGCTCTCCCCCTCTCCCCCTTGCTTCTTCTCTCCCTTTTTTGCTCTGTACTTCAAGGAAATAAATCTTCAGTTTAAAAAAAAAAAACCTTGTCCAGTTAATATAGAGACCTTAGCCCTCAAAGCTCTTCTAGCGCTGTATTCTTGATACGGGGTTGCCCTCCCAGGATCACTCTACTCCAGCAAAACAACACGACTGGACGGTGCATCCCTCAGAACTGCCTGGGAGATCCTACAAGCTCAGGTCTACATTCTGCTTCTCTTGCTCTTCTTAACAAAGTATTCAGTACGTATAACCTATTTTGCACATAATTATAAGACATAGCAAATTATAAAACACAGCACCACTAACTGAAGAAATATAGTCAGCTTCATGAAACATCAGATTCACACCAGAATGAGGAGGGACAGATAATAAGCAGTGATTACAGCAAGTTGCCAGGCGCACCTGTTACCACGCACACTACCAGCACCCATTGTCCTGCTCAGTAGCCTGTGGGGAGGGCACACATGCCCTGTCACTGAGGCAGAAGTGCCTCCTATGGCTGAGGGAGTTCCAGGGAACTCAACACTTCCAGCATCACTCCTTCCCCAGGCCCACATCTCCTATGCTCAGCAGTGTCTACAACATGATTACACACAAGCCAAAAGCCTTGCCTAGCTTGTCAAAAGACAGAGTCTTCAATAGATAATATCTCACTTGTTGGAGCAGTGGTAGGGCACAGCATATTAAGCCTCCGTCTGCAGCCCCAGCATCCCAAATGGGCACTGGATTGTATCCTGGCTGCTCCACTTCCCATCCAGCTCCCTGCTTGTATCCTAAGAAAGCAGTAGAGGACAGCCCAAAGCCTTGGGACTCTGCACCCGTGCGAGAGACCTGGAAGTAGCTCCAGGAGACCTGGAAGAGACCTGGAAGTAGCTCCAGGATTAGCGAGCTATGGTGCCGTGCCAGCCCTTGCATTTCATATGTTCAGTGAGTTCTAAAATTACTTATGGTCAAAATAAAGAAAACAAGAATGTAAAGCCCAATCTCGTTCACAGATTAATACAATGCTTCCCAGAGGATCTGAAGCATACATAAGAAAGCTCAGAGGAGGGTGTGTCCAGCCTCCTCTGACTATGCACTTTGCCCCATTGGGAGTAGATTCTCCCAATATGGCTTCAGCTCTGCTTCATGGTGAGCTAGGACAGATAGGGGGTCCAGGCACAAACCCAAAACCGGAGGGCTCCCCTGAGGGTAACTGAAGTGTAAGCAGCACCCCACACAACATTTCTGAGCACACAGCAGCTTGTGAAGGAGATGGCTCACTGGGCTCCCGGCCCCTCTGCACCCAGGGTCACAGCAGGCCTGTCACTGAAGTGGACAGCTGTGCCTGCAGGCACAGCCTACAATGGGCCCCATTCTCCCTCACAGCCAGGACGGGCTGCAAGAGGCAAGGCCAGGACATTCCTCCACCCCCTCACGCATGTAGGAAAGGGCACAGGCAGCCTGGGGCACCAGAGGCCTGCACTGTGAGGAGCAACTGCTGCCCTCTCTAGCTGAAAGTGGCCCAAGGGGATCCCGCCCCACCAAAGCCCAAGGGCAGCCTGAAAAACAGTTAGATGAAACCAGGTGGACTGGCCAGCCTCTGTAGGAAAGCCCTCTTTGGCCAGTCCTTTCCAGCAAGTAAGAAAAGCAGCTCAGGGCTCTGAGGGCCGGAGGATCCCACTGCCCTGCCAGCAAGGCACAGGCCCTACAGGCCCTAGAAGCAAGTTCTCTCACTAAGAATTCCAGCCTCAGGGAATTATGCCAAGACATTCAGTCAGTTTCTAAATTCCTTTGGAAGTTGGAGGGGGCAGGGAGGAATGGAGAAAAAGGTACATCCTCAAACCGGCAAACACAATGTTTAGGTCTCCTACACTGACCCTCTGACAAAATATTGTAATCTTTCCCAGGTAGACAGAAACAACAGCTAGCTGCACATATCCACAGTGGGAGAGAGAGACAGAAATCCCACTGGCATCTATTTGTGACTTTAATAACATTCTATTTTTAGATCTTTAATAAAGAGCTTCTCTTCTAGTCTCCTCCTACCGAATTCCCCCGTTCCAGCAAGTCAATCTTTCCAGCACAGCTCAAAAGCCTAAAAATATGAGACACTTTTCCAACTCAACCTCACAGAAGCAGCCTTATCAACCCCAAAACCCAGGATCCGCCCTTGCTCACCAGGCAGGACCCTGATGGGAAACCCTCCTGCCAGCAAGGTTCCCTGAGAACAGGGGAGACCCAGGTGGGAGCTCCACTGCCCAGGGCCATCAAAGGGAAGACCTGGAAATCTCATGGACATATTCAATAATGAAATCAAGACCCAGATATGGACGGGATCCCAGGTTCTGATTAATAGTTAAATAAAAAGGAAACGCCATTTGGAATGCTTCTTTGAATTCCATTATTGACTACATCATTTTTCTTGGCAAAAAAAACTGGCCACACAATCAACTCAGCATGGAGAACAACCAAACTAATTAAGGTTGCTTTGTTTTAATTTAAAAATTCATTTATTGGGACTGCTGCTGTGGTGTAGTAACTTAAGGCTCCACCTGTAGTACTGGCATCATATATGGGTACCAGTTCGAATCCTGGGTGCTACACTTCCAATCCAAGTCTCTGATAATATGCCTGGGAAAGCAGCAGAAAATAGCCCAAGTCCTTGGGCCCCCTGCATTCATGTGGGAAACTCAGAAGAAGCTTCAGGCTTCTGGCTTTGGACCAGCCTAGCTCCAGTTAATAGCCATTTGGGGAGGAATGAAGATTTCTGTCTTTCTTATCTAATTCTGCCTTTCAGACAAAAATAAATTTTTTAGAAGAATAGGCACAAAACTTTTTTTTAATGATTTATTTATTTACTTGACAGGCAGAATGACAGAGAAAGTGAAGTAGTTCCACCTACTGAATGGTCACAATTGCCAAGGGTAGGCCAGACCAAAGCAAGAAACTGGGAACTCTAACTGGGTCTCCCATGTGGGTAGAAGGTGTTCAAGCCCTTTGGCTACCTGCTGCTGCTTTCCTAGGTGCATTCGCAAGAAACTAGATGTAAAATGGAGCAGCTAGTACTCAAATTAGGACTCCATCACAAGTGGCAGTTTAACCTGCAGCACCATGGAGCTGGCTCCCAGTGAGGGTATTTATGATAATCAAGACAGAATTGGTTTGCTCCTACCAGACAGCCTTCAGCATCTTCTTAAGCAGTCCCGGATTAACCTTTGAGACGCCTAGGGGAACTGCCCAGAAGGGAAAACATAATGCTTGCAAAATCAAAAGGAATGTCTTCAAATTGCGTTAGTTTCAATACGGTAGTTAGAAACTAACAGGTGCTTGTCTGTGGATTCCCATACAAACAACATCCAAGGAAATGAAGAGCAAGTGTCAAAACAACGAACACATTATGGCAAGTGTCCTACTGGTCTCCACCACTGGGACACCTTCCCCATACTTAAGTATCTAAGGACCAACTGCGACACATCCGCAGGAATAAATTTGGGCTGCACAGGCCTGCCAGGGCAGAGACACGGAGACACCAGGGTCTCTATGTGGCTGTAACCACCAGGAAACCCAGCAGCCACAGGGAAAGGGGGACGGGAGGGAGCTGAGTGGAAGGAATGCTTCCTTCCTCTAGGGACACAGGGATCTTTCCTTTCCTTTCCATTTTTCTCTTCCACATGTGTCACTTTATTAAATGCACTGCTGGATAGCACCTTGGCCCCACAATCAGGGTTCTAACATTCTGCAGCCTATCTTGGCAAGGATGGGACTATTCTGCCCCTTTCTTTCACAAACATTCGTCTTCGGGTACCTTACCTATCCTTCCAGTGCTAGGCAGCTTTAAAAGCCTTTTATCTTCCTGGAAAGCAGAGGTCCTGCAGGAACAGAAGGAAACAAAGCTGGTGAAGGCCCGTAACTGAACCAGAAGCACGCCACCTCCAACTCCAGGGGAAGCGGGAGCGTCCCTCAGCCTGCAGCCCACGCTAAGCACCACCCTTCTTGGTCAAAGATCAGAAATTTACATCTTTCCAGTATTGTCATTACAAGACCAAAAACTGTAATTTCAAAGACATAAAATTAATTCCAGTGTCTGTGTTTCTCACAATATCTCAAAAAAAAAGAAAGAAAGAAAGAAAGAAAGAAAGAAAGAAAGAAAGAAAGAAAGAAAGAAAGAAAGAAAAGGAAAGGAAAAAACAATTAGTTTTAAAAAGTATAACTGAAGGGCTGGCCCCAAAGCATAGCAGCCTAAGCCCCTAACTGTGGCACCAAAATCCCATTCGGGCATCAGTTCAAGCCATTCCATAGTTCCTGGGCCACTATACCCATGTGGGAGACCCAGAAGATACTCCTGGCTCCCAACTTTGGATCAGCCCAGCTTTGGCCATTGTGGCCATTTGCAGAGAGAACCAGAGGGTCAAAGATTTCTCTGTGTCCCTCCTTCTTTGTAACTCTGTCTTCCCAACAAAAAATAATAGGAACAAACCATAAATGAGAAGCAAAGTCTCAAACTCTATCAGATGTAGCCTGTGACTGGCAAGATACATATTTGAGTCAACTTAAATATTTTTACAGTATTTACAACTGATAGTTGCCATAATCCTTTCAAAATAAATTCAGGATATTGCTAGTTTCAATCTGAATGAATATGCTTTACGTCAACAAAGAGAACAGTACAGCTTCAACTCTGACACCATTGGCTTACAATCTTTTTTTTTTAAAGATTTATTTTTATTTTTACTACAAAGTCAGATATACAGAGAGGAGGAAAGTCAAAGAGGAAGATCCTCCGTCCAATGATTCACTTCCCAAGTGAGTGCAATGGCTGGTGCTGTGCCGATCCAGAGCCAGAAACAAATTTATTTGTTTCATTGCTTATTTTTGTTTATTTGATATTTTGTTTGTTATTATTTATTTATTTAGAAGCAAACTAAAGAAAGGAGAAAAGACAGATTTTCCATCTGCTGGCTCACCCCACTACACACACACACACACACACACACACACACACACACACACACACACGGCTGCAATGGCCAGAGCCCAGCCACACACACACACACAATGGCCAGAGCCCAGCCACACACACACACACACACACACACACACACACACACACACACACCCCCTCTGCAATGGCCAGAGCCCAGCCACACACACACACACACACACACACACACACACACACACACACACACACACCCTCTGCAATGGCCAGAGCCCAGACACACACACACACACACACACACACACACACACACACACACACACACCCCTGCAATAGCCAGAGCCCAGCCACACACACACACACACACACACACACACACACACACACACCCTCTGCAATGGCCAGAGCCCAGCCACACACACACACACACACACACACACACACACGGCTGCAATGGCCAGAGCCCAGCCACACACACACACACAATGGCCAGAGCCCAGCCACACACACACACACACACACACACACACACACACACACACCCTCTGCAATGGCCAGCGCCCAGCACACACACACACACACACACACACACACACACACACACCCTCTGCAATGGCCAGAGCCCAGCCACACACACACACACACACACACACACACACACACACACCCTCTGCAATGGCCAGAGCCCACCACACACACACACACACACACACACACACACACACACACACACACCCCCTCTGCAATGGCCAGAGCCCAGCCACACACACACACACACACACACACACACACACACACACACACCCTCTGCAATGGCCGAGCCCAGCCACACACACACACACACACACACACACACACACACACACACACACACACACACACACACACACACACACACACACACACACACACACACACACACACACACACACACACACACACACACACACACACACGGCTGCAATGGCCAGAGCCCAGCCACAAGGACACCTCAACACCAGTCCCGGTTTGTGACCTCGTACTCCTTCATCCCACATCTTGGACCCAGAGCAAACAGACAAAGCATGTTTGGTTATAAAAACCAAGAAAAAGACAAAAAAGAAAATCCTGTTCATTAAGCTCTGGCTGGTATAATTTTGTAAACTACTCTAACTCCTATTAATAGAAATGGCTATCTAAGCAGTATCACTGACTAATGGCCAGAGCGAAAGGGGTAAGGCCGAGATGTGGAGCCAGTTATATGACTCCCAGGAAGACTGCTTCATGACCCAAGGGCACAGACACAAAGATCGACTGTGAAATGAGCAGATTAATCACCAATTTATTAAAGTCACCAGCACCTTGCTCCTGGCCCAAAGTCTCAATTGGGGAAAAGCAGAAGGGGCTAAGAAGCACCAGTAAGCAACCCGTGTTGAGCTGCCCCCTGTGACGCTGGTATCCGTACAGGTACTGGTTCACATCCTGGATGTTCCACTGTGATCCTGCTATTGGCCTGAAAAAAGCGAAAGACGGCCCAAGTATTTGGGCACTACCCACGAGGAGACTCAGAGGAAGCTTTGGACTCTAGCCTTTGCCTAGCCCAACCTTGGTTATTACAAGCACTTGGAGAATGAACCAGCAGGTGGAAGACAGGCACCCCCACCACCACACCCCTGCTCTGACCCCTCCCTGTCATGCTACCTTTCAAATAAATCTTTACCAAAACAAAAAAAAGAAAACAGGCTCCAGAAAAGGAAAATAAATCCTGAATGGGGCCAGTGTTGTGGGACAACAAGTTAAATCACTGTCTCCAACTCCAACATTTCATTAGTACTGATTTAAGTCCCAGCTACCTAGTAATATGCCTAGGAAGGAAACAGAAGACAGCCCAAGTACTTGATCCCCGCCAGCCAGGGAGAGCCTGATGGAATTCTTGCCTCTGGGGTTCAGGCAGATCTAGACTGGTGACAGTTAGGGAATCAACTAATATGTGGAAGATTTCTGTTTCTCTTTCAATTATACAAATCTCTGAAAAGGAAGAAGGAAGGAAGAAATCCCTAACAAACATTAAAAAACAGACTATCTGGATTAATAATTCCCACTTCAAATTTCCTAGAGATTCAACTCTCTCTCTTAGTCCCTAACTTGGCATAGCATCGGCCATCGCGCTCACTTGGGGAGTGAATCATTGGAAGATCTTCCTCTCTGTCTCTCCTCCTCTCTGAATATCTGACTTTCCAATAAATAAATAAATCTTTAAAAAAAAAAAACTGGATGGGAAATGGAGCAGAAAGGACTCAAGTCGCTGATCATTTGGAATGACAGTGTTGCAGGCAGCAGAGTAACCCAATGCATCACAAAGCTGGTGCCGAAAGACTGATTTTTTTTTTCAAGATTTATTTATTTTTATTAAAAAGCAGATTTTAGGGGCCAGTATGATAGCATAGCCTTGAACACGCCAGGATCCCATATAGGCACTGGTTCTAATCCCAGCTGCCCTGCTTCCCATCCAGCTCCCTGCTTGTGGTCTGGGAAAACAAAGACGACCCAAAGCCTTGGGAGCCTGCACCCGTATGGGAGACCTAGAAGCTGTTCCTGGCTCCTGGCTTTGGATCGGTGCAGCACTGGCCGTTGCACTCACTTTGGGAGTGAATCATTGGACAAAGATCTTCCTCTCTGTCTCTCCTCCTCTCTGTATATCTGACTTTCCAATAAATAAATCTTTAAAAAAAAATCTTCCTCTCTCTCCTCCTCTCAATATCTGACTTTGTAATAAAAATAAATCTTTAAAAAACTAAAAATAAAATTAAAATTTAAAAAAAAAGAAAAGAAAAGAAAAGCAAATTTTACAGATAAAGAAGGAGAGACAGAGAGAGGTTTTCCATCTGCTGGTTCACTCCCCAAATGGCAGCAATAGCCATAGCTGAGCCAATTTGAAAGAGGAGCCAGGAGTTTCTTCCTGGTCTTCCACACAGGTCTGTGCCCACGATTCTGAGCCATCCTCTGCTGCTTTCCAGGCCATAACCAGATAGCCGAATTAGCAATGAAGTAGCCGGGACTCCAATTAGTACCCACATGGGATGCCAGCACCACAGGCTGAAGATGAGCCTGACAGCCAACATGCCAGTCCCAAGCTGATGTCCAAGGTAGCAATAATTTTTTAAGATTTATTTTTATTGCAAAATAAGATATACAGATGATTTACTCCTCAAGTGGCCACAAAGGCTAAAACTGAGCCAAACTGAAGCCAGGAGCCAGGAACTCTTCCTCCGCATCTCCCACGCAAGTACAGGGTCCCAATGTCCTCCACTGCTTTCCCAGGCCACAAGCATGGAGCTGGATTGGGGGGGGGGCTGCCAGAATTAAAACTGGTGCCTATATAGGATCCCAGCACGTGCAAGGCGAGGACTTTAACCACTATGTTATCGCGTTGGGCCCCTCACTCTAATTTTTAACCCATCCATTAAAGAGGTCTCTCACCTCCTGTCCACTACACCAATTGTATACCGCTTACCAAAAAATGTAAGACTAATGGGGTGAATATTTTGCACAACCCTCAGGACCACTTGGAACACCTATATCAGATAGTGGAGACCCCAGGACAGAATCACAACTCTGTTACTCCAGAAAGCAACAGTTTCAAATACTTACATGGTGCAAACACTTAGTCCTTGCCACCCATATGGGGGAGTCGGAATTAGCTCTAGGTTCCTGGTTTCAACATTTGAGGAGTCGACCAATGGATAGGAGATGCCTCTCTGCCTTTCAAATATTTTTAAGTTTAAAATCCATCACCTCCTATCATGATTATAATTCTATAAAACTAGAGCTTTTTAATTTTTAAAAATGTATTTGCCTAAAATACGAAGTAACAGAAAGAAAAAAAACAGTGGGAAAAGGATCTTCCATCTACTGGTTTATTCCCCAAATGGTTACAACCTCCAAGTGTGC